TTCAAAAAGCTGCCAGTAAGCCGCCAGAGTCTTTCTTAAGTAAGCTTTGTGCATAGTTAATTGAGTCTGGAATCTGTTAGTATTTTGATGTATATATAAATAGACTTAAGCAGAAGTTCATTGAGCTGAATATTTTACCTATTAGCATTCTGCTTTTGGAGTAACTAAGGCATAACATGCTAATATTATCAGATTAATTCAGTTAAAGCTTCTCCGTCAGCTGCAGTTTCGAAAATGTTACCTTAATAAGAATGGTGGATGTTTTTTCCAACAACGGCAAATTTGTTATTTCTTATAGGCGATGGGAAAAGAGTTGAAAGTATTCTTTCTCCCAGCTGTTTGTCAGTGTCCAAGAGGGAAGTGCACAGATAGACACTAGGGGGTGCTAGAGTGCATGCCATTTTCTCCCTTTGGAAAAAAAAAAAGTGCCCTTTTGAAATTTTATTTTATTTTTTTACAGTGTATAGTGTCTTTATAAGCACGTCATAGCTGCCATGTCTCTTGTACTTCTGCTCCCATAAGGTTGTTTAAAGGAGTTTTGAGGTTAATGATTTTCTTTGGTTGCTCTTGTATCACTTTAGAATAAGTAGAGCAACACAAATGTACATTACACCTCACAAAAGCACATCTACTCGAAAACTGCTATAAACGTGTAAACGTGTTTTGTTTTCTAGTCTTTTATTCCTACAGGTTTTGAAAACATGACTTAAAAACCTCATTGTATCTTGATCCCAGGAACAAGCCCGGCATTAACTGCGGACCGCAAAACGAGCGACAGACCACATGCTGCCATTAGTGACCTCGAAAAAAAATGTTTGCCATTTGGTTTGTAATGCTGAATCTCCTTTGCAGGATCTTTGTGAAGATAATGGCTGGAAAACAGGCAGTGAAGGCTTATAAAGGACTCCCTTCAGAACAGGGACTTAATGTAGCTCTATGCTGCCACTTTAATTCAATTAGCCCGTGTCAGTCACTGCCTAGGTATCAAACCGCCTCAGACTAATATTTACAGAGGGGCTCTAATATCAATATGCAGGTGAAGGCAGTTCCCCCCGTCCTCGCCGTCCTGCAATTATATAACCACATATGGCTGCAGCAGTGAATCACAACATTTACCACCGATCTCTTCAACAGCCGGCCCGCGCCGACTGCCAAATCCATTCTGACCGGCATAATCTTAATATTAGCCTTAGAAAAATGACTCTTGTATTGACTAAGTAAAATTGTCTAAATGAGCCATTTGAGCCAGAGTAAACACATTTAACCAGGAGGTCAGAGGGTGCCACACAAGAGGCAGGTTAAGTTTGATAATTTTCTCAAAATGTCTAATGTCCTCCAGAACCTTTTGGGAAAAACAAGTGCCGGGGCTGATATTGACCTTGGCGGCAGGCCGAATACCCGAGGCTTTAAATGCGCATCAAATGCTCCATCTTCTGACAAATGGAAGTAGACGTCTTATGCAGGTCACTCGCTTTTCGACTCCTCAACCCGCCCACCGACCATAATGTGTGATCATGAGATAAGAACGACATGGCGCGTGTGTGTTCTGGGTTAAATGTCTAGATTTGACTAAATCTGGTCATGTGGAAATTGCTGCAATCTTGTCAGCACATCTGAAATATGTGCACGATAAAAAAAACAAAAAACAGTCACCAAGATCCAAGTGAACAAGTTAGATTACCTATTTGAGGATTTAGGTTAAAAGTAAGGATAAAGGGGGATTCTAACCACACAAACATGACCACGATCACATGTTCCTCATCAAGAAACCCAAAACAACAAGACCAAAGTCTCAAATCTAATATGTCACCCCTCCTGTGTAACTCAGTATCCTCTTACTCAGGTCCTTCTCACTGTCCTCGCAACGGTAATTGTGCATGCTGTTGAGAAAGGAGCTACAGAAACCGCGACGTAATTTTGACAGCGTTCACCTCCTACTTTCAAAGCTTGAAACAACACACCACCTTCCAGATGCTTCCAGGCTGTTCCAAGTTTTACGCCACGCCTGCCTCACCACGATGGCTGTACTGGATGCTAAGAGGCCTGCTCTGTAGCCCACAATCACAAGCGGCCTCGCGTGTTTCCTGGACTACTACATGTAAACTCACCTTCCACATGCAACTACACACATGTAAGTGCAAACAGCACACATGTAAGAAAAAGATGGAACCTGAGACACTCAGTGTGGATCACTTAAGCTAAAGAAACAATGAATTTGTGAAGCAATGTCTTTTGCAAGATATTTTACGACCCAAGCCCAGCGTTTCCCAATATTTTTGAAAGTAAAAAAAGAAAAAGTTTTCTCTCTGGTTTCTTTGTGTGGTTCACGCTCAGCTCTCTGACAACACCCGGACTCCATTACTCTGCTCTCTGGGGAAATCATCATCTCTAATAGGAAACATGCTGAGCAAAACAGGTAGAAGAGAAAGGAGGGTGGAGCATCCTTTTGCATCATAGTTGGACTTCGGCAGGTTTTTTGTATTATCTGCGTAATGTAAAGCAGGACAAACGATCTGAATCAAAGCTGGAATAACAATATTACACTTATTGTTCACTTTATTAGGTACACTTTTCTACTTCTGGAATAGGCCTCCTTTTGTCTTCAGAACCCGCCCTAATTTACTGTGGGAAAAATGCGACACGGTTGGGAAAAGTTTCCTCAGAGATTATGGTCCATCTTTTACATGATGGCATCGCAAAGTTGCTGCAGATTTATCAGCTGCACATGTATGCTGTGAATCTCCTGTTCATCCACATCCCAAATATGCTCTATTGGATTGAGAGCTGGAAGGACGAGGCCATTAAATTACAGCGCACTACTTGTCATGTTCAAGGAACCAGTTTGAGATGGTCTGACTTTTCTAACATGCTGCACAAACCTGTTGGAAGTAGCCATCAGAAGATGGATACACTGCTTCTATTTTAGGCTTTGACAAAGACCCATCACCTTTTGCGATACTGTAATAAAATGCAAGTTATTGTTTTATTTAATGTCATTTAACTGAGATTGATGAACAGCAGCATTGTGGCACCCTTTGGCAGGATTATCCAGAGAGACGCAGCGGAGGAAAAACCAGATGATACGTCACAGTGCTTGACAGTTCACTCTCATGCAAGCATAAACTGGGTCCGCCTCAAAACAGAGCTGGTCGTGCGTCAACGCTGACCTTGTGGTGACCAGAGCTACCCCTCTTCCCATGAGGGGTGTTCTTAGAGGTTATGCACTTTGTTTCCAGGACGAAAGCCAAGCTGTTGTCTCAGCAGGACCACGAGGCTTTGGCCCAACGTGATCCAAGAGGGTTCGGCCTGGATTCAAGATGAGTAAGATGTGGAAGACAAAGGAAGCAGAGGGGGAAAAGTGTAGCGATGGAGGGAGTTTACAAAGTGTTGCTGATCCTACGTTTTTGCGAGGCTATTTGCAGGCAGATAGCCTCACAAATGATGCAAGGCTGTTGTGTAATAAACTGTTGCGGACACAAACTACAGAGCAGGTTCAGGGCAAAATAGGTCTTTGCGACCGCTCCGAGTCCCCTGCTGAACTTGGGATCCCAAAAGGATTTGAATGCACACAGTGGACAACTGCACCAGAGGTATGCATGTTAATGGTCATTTTAAGAATTTGAAACCTAGTCAGTTTTTAAATATATTGAGTTCTACTACTTGTGTTTGGGCTTTGGTTCCATTTTGTCAATTTCTAATTGTTTATATGCAGATCAGATATAACATTAAAATCAAAATGTTTTATAATCCTTTCTGCTGTAAGTAGCCATGATAATAGGAGCAGAGGCGACGTCACATTGTGTGCAAGAGCCAACAGTTATTACAGGCAGTGTTTTACTACTTTAAAGCAAGTTAACCAAGTTATACTATTACTTGGTTATGTCATAGCCAAGTAACCATGTGACCTTTAGTTGTTAAAAAAAATTGTGTACGTCTCAAGTATGACTTTAAACTATTCTTAGGAGGGTTTGACTCAAAATGAAGCTTAGGCGCAAATTCAGTCTGGAAGACTCTTGCTACACCTGCCTCATCAATCAGCGCCTCCCCCTCATCTCCCTGGACCTATCAGCGCTGGACCAAGCCTCATCAAGGCCAATCATTGACCGAGCTCCAGTTGATAAGGACCTTATCGCCGTTTCAGCTCGACGTCCTCGGCCGGGGCCTGAACGGCAAAGAATTTTAATGTTTACTTGTCAATAAACTTTTTAATCGCTTTCTTTCTGTCTGAGTCCCTCCAGATTGAACGTAGTCTGTACAATGAGCTGTCCATCAGTCTTGCTTTTCACCAGGTTTGCTAATTGCTGCTGCTAGTCTGGAGGAGCTGAATAGGGTGAGTGGAAGTAGGTGACCCTTTGTGGGAGTATCCACTCAGCTATGGGAGATTCAAGGAAATAATCAAGGCAACAGCTCAGGTCTGTTTTGAGCATAACTATATATAAAACTTAGAAAAAGTCCATTTCACATAGAACTGACATCAAGCAAAACAAATTGAGTTGGACTATAAGTTGTCGCTTCACTATTGAACTGTAACACGACTTCTGCTGAATAGAGAATGGTGAGTTAGCTGGTGGGAGACGAGGTTTTCAGGAAGTGTGTCGCTACATGAAATGATTTGATACAATCTTGGACTGACTATGACAAAGTAGGTGTCTCTTTTTTGATGTTGCTCGCATGTATGTTCAAAGGTTTGACTCAATTTGACTGTTTTTTCTGCAATGTGACTAGTTTTAGCACATGGAAAGTGAGTCAGTTTTGGTTCTATGACAGGATTCTGACAAGATTATGTTTTGGGGGTTTTTTTTGTATTTTTTTCCCCTCATTATTCAGGACAAGCTCAGTCTTTTTTTTAACAGATTAATGTTTGTGCTTCCCACCCCGATGACACATTTATAATTCTCTAATCCCTTACTGTGACCCATATTGAGCCGAGTGTGACGCATTTCCACATCTACAAGCTGTTTGTTTCGCATCCAGCGGGACGTGAGCGGGCGAGGACTCACCCGTCCCTTGCGCCATCCATGGATGCCAGAGGGGACAGGTGATGAGGGCTGCCGAGGTCCCGATCCAGGCGGTGCTGTCGGGAGGGCAGGTCTGTGACGGAGGCAGGGTTGGGGGCATGGGAGAGGAGCTCCACCGAGGCGCTCTGATGGGGGTTGCTGGAGCCAGCGTACAGGCCTGAAAGACAAACAAAGCTAATTCGGTAAACGTGCCAGATAAACTCAAGGGTCCTGCACGCAGTCTTTTCCTTTGAGCAAATTAAAAGCCATTTCATGGTAACAGGGTTTTGTTTTGACAACCTTCATCCAATCACTGTGCTTTGCAGAAGAAAATGTTCCTTGTTTGTGCTGTTTATAATTTAAGGTACATTGTTTGTGCTGCCACAGGGACTTGGCCTGGTTCCGCTTTTTTCCTATTATCCACTAATCGGCTAAATTAGAACATATGTTCGAATAGTGAGCATGAATCGTAGAACTTTGTAGAAGTTACCAAAGGAAAATGTCAAAATGTTTCATTTAGAAACGCTCCGCTTTAAGGTTATTTAATTTATAGTTTTTGGCACAGTACCGTTAGGGGGAACCGTTATTTCATACTCGGGCTGCATGGTGCCAGCTTTTCTTCTATTTCAAGAGGAAAAGTGTTGTTAAGTGCAAATCATTCCACAAGCTTTAAACTGTCAATATCAAATTTCTCTTGATATTTTTCTCCCGTAAACGACTCTTGCCCAGTTTCAAGATCCCAAGGTGACATCTTGAAATCTTCTTGTTTGCTCTGGCTAGGAATTTTAAGCCCGAAGGTGTTGAGTTTAAAGGATAAAGCAGAGAAGCTGGAACCATCAGGTTTTGGCCATTTGTGCCTGAGCATATTTTCTCCAAAATTGCTTTTCATTTCTTACCGCATCGCGCATACGTCTAAGATTTACACAGACAATTCTTCCTACAAATCTGCTCCGCTGCTTCTAAGCTTTCAAAAACAATAATTTTCCAGCAGTTCAATTTCATCAACTTAGGAGAAGTGTTCCTCTGGAGGCCCATTCGGCCCAGAACTTCCCATTCCTGACAACAAATCTAGTTAGCATTGAATCAACTTGATCAACTCTTTCTCTCCTCTGACTGTAAATCTACTCTGATTTCTTTCATGGCAGTCAGTAAGTGAGCACTAACTGTCTGGAACAGTTAAACTGCAACAAAAATTGGAGCAAAGGAGAAGATGGAGGGAAGAAAAAAAAACGCTTTTGGCTTTTGCAGACCGATCTGATACTGCACTGATTCATTAATAATAAGTCACAAACCTTAAACCTTTTTACCTCTAGACTCATCATTTGCTATCACACGGGCAAAAGATTTGACAAATAATAACTCTAATTGCCAAAGTTTTATCTTTTTTTTTTTTAGTTTAACAAAGAACAATTTACTATGCGAATTTTTCAAGGAGCACTGAAAATATGCCACCGTGTGAGACCAAGAACTAGACTTCACATCTTTTTCGCCAATTCATATAAAGCAGAGGAAAACTGCAAAGTGAGGAAAATAACATGATTTTTTTTCTTTTTTATTTTTCAAAATCCTTTGAAAATAAATCAAATGCATTGCAGGCATATTTACTTTGTAACTGCAGATGCAAGTCTTTTAGGAACTACATGTTTCTAGCAGCTTTTCAAGCCCCAAAACAAAAGTCTTTCCCTGCTTCTTCTTGAAAATCAACCAGAGCCAAGTGTGATTAAACAGACACTGTCTGATAGTTTCAGCTCTGGCCACAGATTCTCATTTGGAATAAGGTGTGGACTTTGACTGGGCCATTCGATCTCGTTCTTATGAATGTTCTTTGATCTAAACCACCATAATGCCGCTCATTCCGTTTGTTTAGTCATTATCCTGCTGGAAGATGAGTCTTAATACTGGTCTCCTTCTTGTGCAGCCTCAAACAGCTTTCTTGTTTTTATTTCTATTTGTCTGCTCATCAGCTATGACCAGCTTCACTCACAACATGATGGTGCCACTGTCCAAGTGTTACCAGGTTGATGCATGTTGTGGGCTTTCACCTTACATCCTGGACATATTGTTGAATTGTGCTGATAAACTTCAGAAACCATCACAGAAAAGATGCCCTTACAGTGAGATCACGTCGCTCAAAAGCGAATAACATCGACTAAAAAGATGCATTTTGAAGGCAATGTTGCACTGAATTTTATTTCAGTGTATCAGACTAAAGGGGCCTTAGCAAATATGCACGCCACGCTTTTCAGATTTGCTTGAAAAAAAAAAACCTTTCCTCACATTTCACAGTCATGTCAGCCCAATAAAATACATTGACGCCGCATACTGATGCAAGTCCCTCCAGCTGTACAATCAGAATATGTCGACCTCTGTTCTCAGCTCTGATAAGTCGACGCAGGTATATCAGGGAACACCATAATCATCCCCCATAAAGCACAGAGGGGTTTCTCGTAAGCCTCACTGCAGACGTGTAAATAGGTGCAGACTTATAATCAGCTAACAGGAAAGCACGTTTAACTCTTACTGGAACCGTGACTCACTTTCTGCCCTGCAAACGTTAATGACTGGATACCTGCCAGCCCTTCCCCATTTCTTTCATGCTTCCTATAAGCCATCAAACAAAGTGAAACTCATGTAAATTGGAATCCTGAATCCAAACCACAAGGCTGCAACGTCTTTGCTGCACTAAGTAGTGCCTAATTTGGTGCTTGCTTACGAGGAAGCCCCTTGGAGGCCTTTAAACCTGTTAAAGCATGAGAACAAGCAGCATCCACCTAAAGACGACGGGAAGGAGCGATTTAGGAACCAAGACTCTGTTTGACGTTCAGGGAAAAGTTGAGCGTTCGCTGATGTCAGAGGAGATCCAGCAGCAATAACCGAAAACGACAGGGAGCCTGGACGAACTACAAGCAGAAAACAGGGACAGATGTGTCCATAAACGGAAGCTGCGGGGCATCTCTCTCGTGTCTCCTAGATTGCTGTAATCCATTTATTTCTCTTGCTCACTCAGTCCACCGAGATGTTCGCTTTCAAAGGGAGCCAAACATGTCAAGCAGAAAACTGGACATTTAAAGACCTTGCATGCCTACATTAACCTCCTGTTTGCAGCCTTTTGCACTACATGATAAGCAGCAAGGACAACATGACTGCAATGAAACACAAGTCAAGCTGGACTGTGTGGTTGCAACATTTTCTTTTTAAGACTTAAGCACGGTGAAAACGCTCAACTGTTGATCGGAAGTAATGTGTAAATAATCGAAACCCTTCATACCTTTCTTTATAAAACATTTCTAAAGAGTATTTTATTTTCATTTTTACAATTTTACAGCCATTCGTGTTGTGCTATAAAATACATTGAAATGCACTGCTGTCATTAGTCTTTATAAGCCCCTGTGTCACTGTTGCAGGTCAGCTGGCCACAAATATTCGATTTGATTGGAAGAAATGAAAGAATGTTTTCATTCATGGCAAGAAGTTGACAAGAATATAAAACAGTCGGTTGGGGGATCAAGTTTTAGTCTTTGACAAGGATTGCATGTCGTCCCGGACTAAACACTGCATGGCAGGCACTTAAAAATTCTGTCTGAATTCAGTGGCTGTAGAGAAAGTGAGGATGATTGCAACTGAAGAAGCTGTCAATTGTCATTCAAACTCTGCAAACACAGAACAGCGTGTTAGTGCCTTTGCTGCCCAGTTATTCAAGTCAGAATTTGGAGAACCTTCAACAATCAGCTTAAACTGCACATATTTTTTGTCAAACATCAGGAAAAAGAAAGACTGAATGCAGTTTATAAACAAAGACATGGAGTACTCTGTGGTACAAATACAGAGCAACTCAGTTTTCCTCTCAGAGGCTGATTTATTTTGGACCACATTTCAACATTTATTGCGTTCTCCAGAGAAATGGACTGCTTGTCATACAGCCGACTGGTTGGGATCAATCACAATGCAGGAAACAAGTAAAAGTACAGCGACAGGGAGATGGGAAAGTGACCTGATGTCTGTTCTCTGTCAGCCTCCATGGGAAGCTACTGTAAAATAAACTTTTTTTTTTTCTCAGTTCTGATGACAGGAAAATAAAGAAAAAGCGCGTTGAGCCATCTCTAATGATGACACATCTTCTAACTGGAACAAGACAACAAAAAGTGTGTTATTTTAAAATGCTTCATTAAAAGCAACAAAAATAATCAGTAAAATGCTTTCACAGGGAAGGTGCTACTCTGCAGTCTGCGTACCTGTGAAGATGTCTGGACAGAGTGCGGGGGAACGAACATCTTTGCCGTTGTAGATCTGGAGCGAGGAGCTGGAGCTCTGCAGCTGCTGCATGGAGAGACAGTCGCCGAGGACATCCTGCTCCAGGTGTGGGCAGGGCCGCAGCTGAGGAACACGACAGGGAATGATTCCAAAATAACACAAATATCATATTTCACAAAGTACACATTCTTTAAAAAAACAAAACAAAAAAAAAATCTCTTTGGTTTCTCCAGAATGAGATTGTGATGTTAATGTTGATGAATGATTGAGAAAATAAATGTGTGTTGTCTGTACTGAAAAGACAATTTCATTTATTCTTTATGTCCTTGACTATTTATGGGTAATTGATCTGGGTTTTAACCACAGATTTTGTTATCTTTCATTGCTTACCTAACTATGTTTACTGAAAACACATCACAGCAGAAAATGTTCTCTCAGTAATCAATGTAACAAAAAAGAAAAATTAGCTGCTTTAATTCTGCATTTGTCTTATTTTGCCACCGTATTTTACTGTATCTAAAAACACATTCTACATGGGTATTAGAGTGAATAATTGAAGAGAGGTTTATGAAACAGTACGTTCGTGGTGAAGGTTTGAAAGACTGTTAACTGAACTAATCAGAAAACTTCAAGCACTTGCGATACTGTGATATATAAATCTTCATCACTGCAGATTGCATAGCATAGCATGAAATCAAGTAACATCACTTTTCTGTCTTCCTGTGACACCTGAGCATCATTCGTGTGGTATTTATGGCATTTAAGTGGAAACTCCCAAACTGTAGAATTGTCCAAAAAAGCTTGCTGCAGTATCAGATGTGTGGAACAGCATTGCTGCAGCAGAATTCACTTATAGCCATTCCTACTGCATTGCATGCAAAACAGATATGAGAGTATACACCCGGGAAGCTTTGGAAAACATGTAGAACTGTGCATCAGCTGACTATTATCTGTATCAACATGCTGTGTGAAATGAAAAATATCTGATAACTTCAACCCAAGCTGTATCATTTTATTAGAGAGCTCTTCTCTAAATATTTTGTCATTTCAATGTAACTGAAAATAGTTCTCAACACATGTTGGAGCAAATGCTTTCAGGTGGGCCGATATAGTAAAGTTTGTGAAGCAATTTCTTTAAAAAAAAAAAATAAAAAATCTTTTCTAAACCATCAAGTCTCATCATTGTCTATCGTTAACTCCGGTTTCTGCTCCACTACAAAAATCAGTTCCACATTTTGATTTTGTGGTTGGAAGCATCCTTTATCTGCATCATTAAGACATCTACTCTAAATGATTTGTTTATCCGACAGAAAGCATCGACAAGGAGCCAAGTGGGCAGTCATTTTGTGTCTGCTTTTCGTTAGATTTCTGGTGTTCCCACAAGAGATTTCATAACATTTAAAATATGGTTTATCTTAACAGTTTTTCAGCTGGCATCCTCCATGTTTGGTTTCATTCTCTGTGTCAGTAAATGTGTACACACGAGTCCTCCTGGGGATTATTATGAGTGTCCTGCAAAGCATTCATCACGTGTAATTGAGGCTCTGTTTTCTCCACAGCGACACTCTCAACAGTTTGCTTTTCTGGGCCAACTCCAACAGTGGAGTAAGAGCGTTTGTTTGACATTTGTCCATAACATCTGGGCCGCTGGGGCATTCTGCACTACAGCTTATTAACAACGCTACAAGCACACATGTGTTTCCCCTTTTACGACGTAAAGCAGAGGAACACATCATCCAGCCTGCCACTATCCAACCCTCTCCACAACAATGAGCTCTTTCTCTCTGTTATTTAGCCACTTCCAGGCAGGGAAAGAATGGACTTTCTGAACATGAACGCGATGAAACGTGGTCAACCTGATCTACTGAGATTGGAAATTATTTCCAAAGACACTTAACCTGTAGAAAAAGCCCATCTAGACAGGGACCAATAGCTCCAACATTTCATCGCAACTTGTGGACCGCAATTAAGTCGGTTTCCTGGTATGACCGCGACTTTTAAGAACAATCCATTCATTGGGCTGGTCATTCACAAAGCCGTCCTTGACTAGTTTGGATCCGTGTGTGTCTTGTTGGAATATCCAAACTCTGTGCAAAGTCCAAATATCTGACGCCAGTTCTCAGCCAAAGATGGATGGAAATTGGTGACGGTGTTTAAGAACAGGCCAGAAACCACCAAGGCTCAAGGCTAAAGACGGGAAGATGCTGCGACACCACCGTCCACAGTGAGGCAAATTTTATATCAGTGCAGTGGGACAATTAAGAAATAAGGCCCTGCTCCAAAATTTATGCGCTTTACTTAAATAAGTAGCTGACCAACTGTTGTGAATTTAGAGGTAGCGTCAACTTCATCTTGAAACTAAAGATTCATGGATGAAACTTGGGGTAAATTGGGTGTTAAAAATTTAGCCCAGTGATCCCATTGGGGATGTTCATCCTGTTTTATTCCATTAAGTACCTGGACAGCCACTCACAACCTTGAACCCACTGGAAGTTTGTCAACTTTGTTCAAAAGTTTCTTTGTCTGGAAAGAAACCAATTTAAATGATCTATGCAAATTCTAACAAGAGGAGCTACCAAATATCCAAACACAAATATACCAGGATCCTGTTCATGTCTAACAGAGCTACATAGCTCCTCTGTAACTTGTTCAATAATTTTTTTCAAACATTATCTGTGATATATGCACATATTTGAGGTTGTGAAAGTAGAAAAAAGTACAACTTTGTACAGCTATAAAGTTGTTCTTCAACTTCATATGCATAGTTAAAATCACAAAATTCTGATTTTATTCACGTTCAGACGCCACTCTGTCTGTGTAGCAACAAGCTTTCCAGACTTATCTTTGCTTTGCACTTTTCTCTGTTGGTGTATTTGTGAGATGTTTCAACAACTTTACTAAAAACTTTCTGCCTCTGTGAAAATTAGATCCACAGAAATCTAATTTTCTGTGAATCTTTTCTGTTTTTCTGGCCTTACTCTAAAGCTTGAGTCTTCAACTCCAGGCCTTGAGGACCGGAGTCCTGTAACTTTTGAGGTCATAATCAGGACTCTGGAGAACTTGACTGAAGTAGTACTGGTAAATCAAACATATGATTGAGGCGTGTGGGACCGGGGACGCGTCTAAAAGCTGCAGGACACCAGCCCTTGAGGCCTGGATTTGAGGACTTCTGCTCTAAAGGATGAAAGTCCAACTGAAATCCAAAATAACTAGAAGAGGGGATAATGTCAAGGTCCGATCTGACTGAAAGAATATATATGTGTCATTTAATATTCCCATAAAACAGAAATTGTATGTACATTTTAAAAACTAAGATCACTAATTGCCCAAATTTTTAAAAAAATTACCAATTATGTCACTGAATGTTCATCTGCGGGAAGCATTTAAGCTCAAAACATCACCATAGGGCAATTAAATTGGCAGACGCAGAGCTGTAACTCGTCCCTTTGGAGCAATGTTGACAAAGGTCTTGTTAAGTCACCAAGTGTGTGTGTGACAGAGAGAGCGAGAGACACAGAGAGAGAGAGAGAGAGAGACCACGATCGTGTTTTGTAGCACTAAATCTATAATCAATCATTCATACAGCAACCACACTTTATAGCTACTAAAACGTCCATGAAAGTTGTAACTGGAACAAAAAATTCACCAACGCAGACTTTAATTTACTTCTGCTTTCGAAGAAACAAAAGGGAGACAAGAGAGACAGCTGCAGCTGAAGTGTTGCCTGGACATAATTAATTGAGAGCCAAATTATCTAAAATGATCTAAAACAGATATGCTAATGTTAGCTTACCACTCCATATGTTTAGAAACAAATGAAACAAGCTTTCCAGTATGTTAACTCAGGTTGGAACAAAAATATCTGTGGTTGTCAAGAGAAATGGAGACGCTGAAGTGTGAATTTACACAATACTACAGAAATGTAGAGTGTTTATTTAACTAAAATTTAAAGCTACCCAGGTGGTAATTATTTAAGTAATTTCAGCATTGCAACAGATTAATACATTCCTGACATTTTCTATCGGGAACAAAAAAAAAATCCTGGTAATCCAAAGCAATTTTGTGTTCTCAATAACATCACAAAACCACCAGAGCCTTCCTAGATCGAGCCGTTCACTCTGACCGAGTCACCTGGTTCAAAGGGCTTTGGTCGTCCAGGTAGCCAGAATGAGTAAGAGTTTCTATGTGGAGGATCCAGCAGATTTACAGGATTCCCACGAACCCTGCAGCAGCCCGACCACGTCAGCTAGATTCTCATATCAAAGAGGCCATAAAGAAATGACTATTTCCACTTTATTTAAACTGCATGTGACAACTCACAGGAAATTTGCTCGTATAAACTTCGATGACTTTCAAACCACAAGAAAGCAAATTCCTCTCCCGAACCTATGAGATCATTTTTTATAACGTTACAAATGAGCTTTTTGTATATCCTGCTTTGTTTAATGACTCATCATAAATGTTGGAAATCTTTACAGTAATTAGCTTGAGTATTATCAAAGCATATTTAGGTTTATGGTAAAAATAAAAATACCACACATCGACTATCAAATCAGTACGTGAGAACTTTCTAATTGTACCAACAACATTCCACAATTTGTAGAAGTCACGTTTGATTAATTATTGTGCATTTTCTTGAAAAGAACGCACAACAAAATTAAGTGTGTTGTGATTACGAATAATAGACTTTGAATCACATATTGCAAAATGCAATACTCTACCTAGTTTAGTTCAAAATTATTTGTAACCCTGAAAGATTTAGCTTGAAAGCAATCTCTTAATTTTACTAACACATTTCTAGTGGGATGGGAATATCATTAACGTTTTGGAGCAGCCAAGTCTGAAAAATAACCGGCAGGGGGCCTTCCAACCTTAAACCCTCGGAGCTCATCACCAAGACAAAAGACTGACATACCAGTGAAACAAGTAATATGGTTGTAAGCAATAATGTTTTAATTGTGGTGATGTCAAAACAAATGTTTCCCCCCAATTAATCCGAATGTCATTAATAATTTTTGACATGACGTTGAATAAAATGTAAACAAAACTAATAATTTATACTTCTTTCCAATTATGCAATTATCTTTTGAGAGATGCCTGTCTAATTTCCTACTAGAATAAAACTTCTTGGTTAAATTAATGCGATTTTAAATCGGCGTAGGAATGATTTTGGGCTGAACTGCATGATTCCATCTCACTACTCGGATATACGTACTTGTCCTGGTTTTACCCACAATGCAAGTCTCTTACCTTCTTATGCACCTGCTGCTCTTTGGCTGAGTGGATTTTGACGTGTTTGCGTAGAGAACTGGGATCCGTGTAGCGCTTGGTGCAGCCCGAGATCTGACACGCGTATGGTTTCTAAAAGGAACAGAAAAAAAAATATTTAATATCACAATATTTTCCCAAGTCTTATGCATTTAGATTTATTTTGTTTTAAACATAAATGTATAGGTAAAAAGGAAAGAAAGCTAAAGGAAAAATGTAAGAACTGAAATTCTAGAAATACGTTAAAATAGTAAAAAAATGAAATTTGTTAGAGAAAATGTAGAGTCCTACCTTTCAGCTGAGACAGACACACAAGTTGAAGAAAAAAGAAGGCGAAGAAACAGAACGAAAAGAAAAGATCATCAGGTGAGGAGGTTTTAACACAAGAAAATCCTAAAACTTCACTTGCAGTCATATATGTATGCACATTTTCCCCCGTTCTCTTTCCTCTCAGTCCGACGTTACAAATCCATACTGTCGTAGCTCACACAAGTGATATTACAAAAATAGTAATGTGCACACACTTAAAGTTGTAAAAGCTCCAGTGGGTATAACAAAAATGCATCGGGAGACGATCTGCTGTGGATAATTAACTTGATTAGCAAAAAAGAGAAAGCTCTGGAAACATTTGCACATCACATTTTGTTGATCAATGGAGAATTTTGCCAAGCTGAAGCTGTGGTGTTTTAGGTAAAAGATACTAAATAAGCTGCGCTAAACTGCATACGCAAAAAAAAAAAAAAAAAAAAAAAAAAAAAAAAAAAGTGCAATTAATTGCCCTTTCACTCAATTTAAGTGATGATTTTGCTACTGGCTGTCCTCATGGAAAGTGTCACTAGAGCTGTTAGGTAAACTGTATTATTATCAACTATTTGTTATACTGTTTTATATGTTCTTAGTTTATCTACTCTTATTTGTTTTAGTCATATCTTTTAAGAAATGTTTCTGTATTGTTAATCACTCTGATTTCCTTCCTCAGAGGGCCTCTCTGAAGAAGAGCAGAGACAGCAGCTCTTCACAGAACGCCCTGCTTTTGACCTCTTAGATAGCTATAAAACCATCGCTGTGAAGATTCACAACTTGTCCTATTTGATCCTGGGTCAGGAACTAGATAAGCTAGTGCGAGATAGATTGTGTTGTTAGTTAGTGATAATCTTGGCGCTGTGACTGTGTGACGAAGTGTTTTTCCCCCTCCCTTTAGAGTTACAGTGCTCTCTGTGATTAGGGATCCTAAAGACAATAAAAAGAGAGGGGCAGGCAAATGTGCTTGAGAGCAGTTGGAGATTTGTAACTGAAAGCACATCTCTGTCTGTTCTCCTCGCGAGTATTAAGAATCTAACTTTCTCTTGTCTTTCCTGTGTTATTTTCTGTGTTTAATAGGTGTCAACTCTGACAAGAGCAGAGAGGCTGTAAAAGGAAAATAGTTTTATAGTTTTAAAATGTTCCAAATAATTATCTCCTGTTTGCCACAGATATTTTTTGCATGTCAGTTTGCACCTGCTTTCAAACGTGCTAGATAAGGACGCAAAAATAGCACCTAAAATTTGGTTCAGGTTTAGTGAATCGTTTTAGGGGCGGCGTATGAAAATGAAAGTTACAATAACACCAAATTTATACTCTAAATTTCCTTTTGTCATTTCAAAGGCAAACGGGGAAAACTGTAATTAGCTCCGTCTCTAGCAGTTTCATTTGCCTTCACTTTGATGTTTACTAAGCCACGTTACACTTAGAGTGCAGAAACACGAGCAGGGTAAATAATCCAGTACAAGTTTTGAGTAAGGTAAGAGTCAAGAATAAGAATGACGTGTTTTTGGCTGCGGCACGCTCAGCGATGACTTTAGACGTGAGCTGGTGTGAAGTCATCAGCATCTGGGTCCGTCTGTTAGCTGTATCATTTGGTCAATTTGGGTGGTGGAAGAAAATCTACAACTAATTAAAAAAAACACGAGTCAGCATTAATTTTTCTTTTTGCCTTTTCTTTGCGAGTTCTGAATGATTTAATAGGAAAAAAGTGGGAGCGGCAAAACTCGCAAAATAAACATGTACGGATGACTAAATAAAAATCTTTCCTGCGTTTTTATTTTAACATTAAAATGACACCCTCCACAATAAAAAGACTGTTTCTGTACAACATAAATGCATTTTGTTTGAAAAGCAAAAAATGATTCCCTGTTGTTTTTAATTCTTCCCATCGCAATATTGTTCAGCTACCTCACATTTCATTTTATTTCACAGAGTAGCTGTGAGTAAATGATTTGCAGTATTTTGTGCATCTGATGCTGCAGCAGAGTTGGATATCCAGCTAAGCCAGGCTTTTTGGACTTTAAAAAAAAATACTTAACTGCTAGCTAAATGCTGTAGCAACACCCCAAGTAACATCATGCTCAGCTATGCTGAAGCTCTGTCTGCACTTATGAAGAGCTGCCCACCTTGACATGCTGAATGGCTTAAATGGCTGAATTTTGTGGGTGATATTTAAAGTGTATTTAAGGGCATCAACCCAAATCAATTTAACATAACATCCAGTTGGAAAAACAACAAAGTGACCAATTAATATGATGCCACAGCTAGCAAACAGGTTGTTATATTGGTCACTTTGTGCCTAATGTGCAGTGCATCACAGTCTACATACAGGATGACAAGTGTAAGTTGCATTCCAACTCTAACCTGACTCTGAAACTTAAGCCTATTCCACTGGACTAGTGCACATTGTGCATTACTTAGAACATTTAATTAACTTATTTTTTTAACTAAAAATACTTTTGCAAAAGGGTGATTGAAAAAACCTGCAATATTTTGCAAAATATAGAGAAAACTAATGGGGCATTCATCTTAGAGGAAGGAAAAACAAATACACCAGAAATATAGTGGAAGCAAAGCAGCTCATTTACTCCACGGCTGTGTTGGCATGAGAATGCCGGTCAAGTGGGCTATAAGTTGGTGGCGGTGCAGCCACCTAATGGGTGGCAGCGATGAATGACTCAACCGTTCCACTTCCATACTGTACGCTCTGAAGAAACAAGCGGACCTCTGTTTTAGCTTGCATCCTGAATCTCTTCGGTGGGAGCCGCAGCCTGCACTAATGGTGATGATTATTAAAGGACCTGCAGCATGTCTCTACTGAAGTAGGGAGTGAAAAACGTCCCACAGTCTCACTGATTTATGAGAAATTACACTGTCAAAATGTAGAAATAGGCAGAGAAGCTTGGCAGTAGATTTTGAACGTAGTAAAATAAAATGACTAAAGTTTAATCATACGGCAAACACACACTCGGGGTAATATTTATTGCTATTTACACCAGAAATAATTTTTTGGGACTTTTTAATATGACCTAATTTCAGCTCGAGTTTCGCAGACAGACAAAAGGAGCCTGTATCTGGGCGACTGCACACGACTTTTGGGTTCGTGTCAAGAAGCCGACCACCCAGGTGATTTTTCAGCAGGTCAAACATGAATTTAAGAATGTTTTCTGACCGTGTCCAGGTGAGTGCGCTGGTGCTTGGCTCGGTCGCTGGAGTTGCTGAATGCCTTCTGGCAGCCAGGGTGCTGGCAGAGGTACGGCTTCTCGCCCGTGTGGCTCCTCAGGTGTATCTTCAGGTTCTCCAGGCGGGAAAACGCTTTGTTACAGCCCTCGAACTGTGGGAGGAGGAGAGACCGCTTACAAAGAGAAAACTGGGGGGGGGGGAAACAAACCAAAGTATGTGCCTGAGTGATTTAGAAACAAGTCCTCCCTCGCGTTTACTTATTTTGGAGCTTCTAATAAGGATAGTGTTATTTCTACAAGATATATTGACTGATTGAAAAGGACCGGAGGTGCAACTGTGAGCACTTCTTTCCGCATCTTTTGAAAGCATCTGCCAATCCAAGACTCTTTGTGAAAACCACTGAGCACCTACGCTCCCAGCCTGTCATGTTAATTGCAGGGGGAAACTGGAGCACGCCATACAGTACGGTGTCGTTTATTTTGCCGTAATGCATAGCGGGAGATAAGTATTCGGCAGCGTATAGTCCATTAGACTGACAAGTGACAGTGACTGTAAACAAGCTCATATCTGACCCTGCTTGGCTCATCCGATCCCAAGCACTCACCCAATGAGCACCACAGATTTGTTAACGTGTGAATCATTCATGAGGCTTCTCATGTATCCACTTCTGGGCTTGTAAAGAAAATGGAAAATGGAAACAAACAAAAACAAATTGTGGAGGGTGAAAGCAGCTTTCGCTGTCAAGACTCTCTACGGGGGAATGTCATGTTAGGAGTGATAAAGTTTTTAGGTAGAAATAATACGGGAGATTCCACTTAATGTAACTTTTGAAACACACAGGAGCCTCTTAATAAATTAACCCCTCTGACGCATGAATTGTAAAAGAACAACAACAAAAAAAATCTTCAGTGTTTTTATTCTTGAGTTCAGGGATTTACACGTATCCACTCCTGTGGACAACCTGCACCTAAGCACAAAAAAACAAAACATATGAACTTAATGCTGGATCTTTAAGCACCGACTTCAGCTGCTGTCCACACATTGCGAATCTCCAAACGCTTGGATGGGCTTTGCTGCAAAATCCTCTCAAAAATCTGATTATTCCTGTTGCTTGAACACCTTTTGCTACCTCACGCTTTCTTTCCCCTCAACTTTCCATCAATGTGCTCGGATAAAACACTCTGTGAACCTCCAGCCTCTTGACCTGAGAGACTACAAACAACATTTCTGAATTAAAATGTCTTTATTGTCAGATTTGCAATTTCCAAGAAACTGAACTTTTGGTGTCATCAGCTGTAGATTATAATCACTCGCATGGAAAAAAAAAATGGACACTTATTAATTATACATATGTAAATCAATTTACTGAGTAGATACTGGCATTGGTCATCTCTAGTTATCCCTCTAAAGACGAATTTGTCTTTAAAATACATATAACTGTAAAGATGTTCTATTTTATACGACAAAAATAAAGCACAAAGAACAGTATCTATCGGGCCAACATTAAAAATGCTTTGTTAGGCTGAACTAAATGTAAAGTTGACATCCTGCTGCTAAAGCTCACGTCTTTTATTCTCGCCTGACCTTTAGCTAGGCCGACTGACAACAGGTCAGGTTGTAGCTCAGGACAGAGCAGCGGCACTCCAGCTCTCTCTTAGCTAAACACTCTTAGCCTCCTTCATTCACTCAGGCAGCGCAGGTTGGGCCTTCTATTCACCAAGGCTCCATTTAAGAAAGACGAAACCCAAGCCCGTCATGGTGGAACCGTCTTAGGTGACCTGCGCTCATTTGTGGGTTTCTGAGTGCAGCGGTGTGGCTCAGTAAGAGAGTCTTAATCTGTCCAAGCCAAGCAGTGTGTCACACAGCTCCACAAAGAGTTTGTAAGATCTCTGAGTTAATAAGTTTGGAAACAAAACTTTCATTCAGGATGATCAAAATCATGCTTTCACCTCCCCACGCCTGCCGGCAAAAAAAAAAAAATAAATAAATAAAAAAAATAAAAATCTGCGTGCAAAAAGCTTTTTTTAGGCTAATTTTACTCAAACATTAATGTATCCAAACACAGTACAATATGAGGACCTGTTAGGGCTTCCAAACAGAAATAAGCTTGAAATTTTGAAATCCTGTCCAAGTCCTGTTTTTGGACATCAATGTTGCCATGGCTCGACGTTTTGCTGCAAAAGAACACAAGTCCCCAGAGTGCAATTCACATCTGCAGCTAAGCCAGATGCATAATCCAAGTGCATATTCATGAGTACGTAAAAGCCAAAATGTGGAGCTACAAAGACAAGTCTACACAGTAAAACAGGACAGTTTGAATATGCGTGTAGGACTTGATCTGATAGACAAACACAAAATGCTGGTCTGTCGGGGAATTTAAAAACATATGAAAAAGGTGCCAAGTATTTGCCTTCAGACCCTTAGTCAACAATTTGTCAAGCTACATTTCGCTGCGAGTATTTGTCCATTCTTCTCTTGAAAATAGTAAGTCAGATTCCTCAATTGTGAGGAACATTTGTTTTCCTATTTCAGCCCTGGTTGTGTTTAGGTTTGTCGTTCAATCTTTATTGGTCAAAATGCTTTTTTTTTGTTTTTTTATACCATCCATCTCCCCATTAGCTCTCATCAGTTTTCCCCCGTTGCCGTAGGAAGGCATCACCTCAGCATGATGCTGCCACCACCATGTTGTGCTCAGGGTGTTCCAAGTTTTGAATACAGTTTTACAACCTTGTTGCATTCGGTTTGAAAGGTAGTTGTAAAACACTCAGATTTTGTGCATCTAAAACGTATAATTTTCCTTGAACATCACAGTTTTATACAAGTCCATGTTGAAACTAAGAAGTTTTTAGTTATAATGTGACAAAATGAACAAAAAGGTTCATAAATACTTTTGCAAGGCATGGTATAATACATCTGGCAGACTTTGAGGCTGAGAATTAAGTTTTGGAAAACAAACCAAGCTCGTATTTAGGCACCAAAATTCCATATTTATGGAAATTTGTTTCGCTGAAACAAATCTGAGGATAAATTAGTTAGAGGTCCGTGGAGGAAAACCATGTTACTCACGAAAAAGCGTATTATTGATCTGAGGATATAATTTGTAGAGAGACAATCCAAGCGTGAAGTTTTCCTGGCGAGTAAAACAAGAAAACCTCATAAGGCACCAACGTCTTCGGGAATAGACGTTACCCAGGAACTCAGCAGAAAAATAAATCTATGCTAAAGTAAACCATTTTAATGCAGCCAATCTGCTGGTTTAAATTACTTCTTTCAGAAAGTGTGCTGACTGTCAACTTCGTTTTGGAGGTTTGCTGTATTACAGTGCTGGTAAAATGAAATATGCCACTCCTGCTGGTAATGAGAGAAGAGTGGTAGTAGTAAGAGTCTCCGTCAGGCCCAACCATATGTGGTCCCACTTTGTCAGCCAAGACAGTTTTGTGTTGTTTTTTTTTTTGTTTGTTTGTTTTCACCCGACTACACCAATCAAAGTTACAGCCATAATGATGATAAAAGCCTCTTAAGATAACGTGTGTACATTAAGAAGCATAAACTGTGTCAGTAAGGTGGTACACCATTCATAAAGAAGCTGACTCGAATCTAAACTGCGCAGAAAGCACCACACGGTTGAAAGTGGTATAAACAGAGTCGGTGGTTGACGGATGACTGGTTTTGCCTTTGATATTACCTATAAAAACAGCTTAAACTGCGCTAATCACATTAATTGCTTTAAACATGTTTAGTTTTCCTCTCTGAAAACCCTCCGTCCATGGTAAGCCAGAAGGCAGCCGCAGGAGGGGAGTGGCACCGGCACTCTTGAGGGCTTTCAGCCCCATTTGACACCGTCCTCAGAGCTGAGTGGGTCGCTCAGCGGCTCGGTAAACATTGGGGATGACAGCGGGGTCTCGACGTGGCTGAAGGGAGCGCGAGCGAGGGTTAAAACCCCGGGACAAGCGGCTGATCACAACAGACAGATTATGGACTCCGCGTTCAGAGCAGAGGTGGTGCGTCACGCCTCGGGCCTTCATGGGAAATTACTCTTGACTGGCAGGGGAAAGACCAAACAGTGTCAGGAGCAAAAAGGCAGTAGTGTGGGACTCGGCTCGCAGGCAGCGGCTCATTAGCAACCTGCCGGAGCTGCGGCTGACGGGAACAAACCAGCCGTTGTGGACGGCTGCTGGGCGGAATACAGCCGCTGACATGTTTAACGAAAATCAGATTTAAAGTCTAAATGAGTGACGCAAGACGACACATATGTACACGAAGAGGATCAGAAGATATAAAGAGGCTCATCTGTTGAAAAGTGATATTTGCGCAATGAAGTGGTTGCTACTAGAGTCATTGAATACGTTTGTTTTTATTTTCATTTCAGGTTCCAAAATGTTCCCTCTCTACTTGCCGGTTGCAACAGATTTAAGATATTCACTTGGTGTCCCTCTTCAACTTGAATATATTTCTGTGTCCCCTTGATGCTGGAAGACTGAACTTGGATTTGGGAAAGGATTTGCAGAATCCTGCATTATAACTTCAAGAGCCTTTTAAGTAGATTTTTTTTTCTTGGATCTCAGAAATTCTGACTTTTAGTGCAAAATAAGTTAAGAAAGTTATCAAACTTTATTTGAAAATACAGAATGTCTACCATGTAGATACCACTGGACAATAACTGGGTGATACAAAACACTTAATTTGCAATTATGACAGTTTTTTTTTTATCTTAATAAACCAATGACAACCTCTGTTGTCTTTAATGGATATAGTACTTTAATACTTTAATGGATAAAGTGTGTTATGCACCTGATCAGAGCTAGCTAACTAATTAGCAAAATAGTTTGCAAATAAAAGAGCCAAAGACTGGAGCAATGATATGATTGGCTTAGGTTGATCAGTGATGACATAAAGGTAAAACTCAGTTAATGGCTGCAGATTTCACAGTGTTTTAATGTGACAGTCATCCTCAGTCTGAAAGCTGGCAAAGTATCTTGATTTGCAATTAAGCTACAATTACTCATGTTCTAAAGGTCTGAGATAGAGGAAATGAAATCTCAAAGCTCATCAGAAAAATCCTGGACTCTTTACAGGAAAGCAACACAGAAATGCAAAAGTTTTCAATCAGCCAACAACATATATACTGCTACAGCTCAAATTAGGATCTAT